AATGAAAGAGTGAAGGAATAAGAGAAGGAGGAGGAGAAGGGGACAAGACAGAAAGGAGGAGGAACAAGAAAGAAAAACAGTCTCTCTTCATCTCTTTAGTTTTTGATGAGCTTTCTTAATTGGGACACTATAGAAGGAGAAGTGAATCCTCAATAATTAAAAAATCTAATTAAGGAGTCTTTTGCATCTCCATCCTTAATTATTTCTCGTGGAGCAGTGGGGAACGGCACATTTTCACTGTTTTCATTAAAAAGGAAAACAGAATCTCCAGCTCTGCCTCTCCAGTTACTCATATCCCCAATCAACAGATGGACTGTTTCTTTCACCTTTTATCTATATCAGACTATAGATAAAAGGTGGACATCTTTCCTGTCCTCTAAATCAGCTGACTGAGAATTTCTTATTTTCAAGGATCTTAGAAGCATATTCAAAGAGAAAGACAAAAAATAAACTTATTTTGAGCATCTGCAAAGTTCTAATACACAAGTTGCTATCAGAACATTTCAATTCTGACCCAGACCAAGGTTAGGATTGGCAAGAGTTTCTTTGTCACAAAATTTTGAAAATGAAAAAATTGAATAGCATAGGATCTGGGAAGCTGAACCCTAACACAGACTCGCCAGCAGCCATTAGCAAACACCTGGTGGAGCTGCACATCTGCTAAACTCATAGGAGCAACTTCTCAGTTCAACGCTGGTAAGACGTTGTTAAAGGGTTAATAAAGGAGCCATGTTGTAAAAGGCTTCCTGAAGGTGGAGTTTAAGAAAGAACATGAGTTTCTTAAAGAGACAGAAGCCCAATTTCAAAGCGTTAAATTACAAAGTCAAATTTCTTTTGAGTCATATTTAATACATATCAAATTTTTATAACTTCTGAAAGTAACATAGTTACTTGATTGTGCTATGAAGTTGCACTATGTGCCAAGAAAATACACAATACTGCCACATTAACTTTTTTCATTTCTATTGGTATAACTTTTTAAAAGCTGGTTCTTGATGGGGAAGTGGCTCTATATTCTTTTACGATTCACATAAATTCAGACAGGAGGGAAAATTTCCTTTCAGTATGCAGGTAATAACTTTTTTCGTCTTCTTATCATAAGACATGGGTGTGAGGTTAACAGGCTACTAATGAAATAACTGCACAGAATGAGACATGCATACTCATTTCTGTGTTTGATCTCACAAAAGAATGTGCGAAACTGTATGTCCCTACCATGTAGCTCATTATTATTAATGACTCAGATGTCATTTGCTGAGGAACAGCCAAGTTTCTGAGAATCTAAGTTGCTAAATTATGAGTAGGACAAATTTCTAGTACACTGAAGAGCCCAGATCTGTGGCACTCAGAGAATAAATAATGCCATTTCAGAAAAAAATATAATTACATTTCTGAAGAACAGGTTAGGTTTCAAAAATATTTGCCAACAAATCATAGTGTTAATGTATACAAATAGTTTTGTTGTTGTTTAGAGTAAACAGTAAAATTGTCTTAGACCAGATATATGTATTACTCTCAAAATATGTACATGGTCGGATTTATAATCACTTTAGCTAAATTTTGTTGGTATAAATATCATGACCTAGTAATAAAACAGAACCTAAAGGGACTGCTATGCATCAGACTGTTCATCAATGCAGTTTTACTATACGGATGGCTTCAATATGCACATTAATATAGCATCACATCTTGTGAGGACACGGGGATGCATCATCTGAGCATCTGGGTATGTGTCTGGCTCTAGTGTATTCAGATATTTTCAAACCAGGCCATGATAGAAAATATGAGACTAATTCAGTAATTCCAACTTCCTAAGAAAATACAGTGGCAGTAGATTTTAAGAAATGCTTTCAAGTTAGTATACAATTCCATCATGTGATCTCTGTCTGGATATATATTCTTGTGTGAAAGAGTGAGAAGACTTCATGAAATCCACTGCCTTTGTTTTTCAGTATGCAGATAAAGGTGAGCTTTGCACCACATGATCAAATCCTCCCCCACAGGCCTCACCGCTGTTCAGCAGACTAACCATAACTGCATCATCTGCAAATTTAAACACTTTCCTACAGATGAAAACACCTCATGAGAGGAATGAATTCACTATTTGACTCAGATCATATGCAGTGACAGCAGGACTCTCTTAAGAAAAGATGTGGGGAGGATATAACGACAGCAGGAACTTGAGCTTCTTGGCTTTTATAGTTAAGTAGTTGAAATTGAGTTATGGTTTTGCATTTGTTATGTTTGGGCATAGCATTGGTCCTGAATGCTATGCCCAACAGCCAAACAAAGGTCCAGCATCCCTTACATATAAAGACAGCTTTATAAGAAATCTTAGTCACCCACTTACAAACTACAATTTGGTGTTCAGAATGTGTAAGACTTGCAATGGACATTTTTATGTATGTAATTGCTACATGCCTATGTGAGCCTACATGAAAACACAAAAGGCACATTTTACTGTTTTACATATTTGTTAACCTTATCTATATCATATAATCCATTTGAGTGAAATAAAGTCATTTCAGGCAGAAATTGGATTTCGTTGGACGGAAAATGGATCTAAATAATTTTTTGGCGGAAAAAAGCTGACAAGGACTTGGACAGATGTTAGGAGGCAAACAGAAGAAGAGGCAGCAGGCATGTGGCAGTTCTCATCACTCCAACATTATAAGTATATGGTTTGTGACCCACAAGAGGATGTTGATGAAGTTCCTCTTACTCTACTCTTCCTTCCTTAACACCATTGTGGATTTATTTATTTTTTCTCAGCATGGAGTTAGAAAGTATATAAAGACTGAACTGTAATTCCTACAGCACTGCTTACACAGTTTTTCTTAAGGAGATTTTCTTATGTTTTCATTTCATTTCATTTCTATGCACAATGACATGAGTGTCAATAAATTACATTAGCAGCATAAATGTTAATCTTGTCCAGTCACGTGCCATTGATCTCCCATAATTACAATTTAAAATCAAAGCAATATATCCTTAAGTATATTTTTGTTTTACATTTTACTATTGTATCATTACAGCCTGAGGATGCTCATGTCTGTAGTTTCAAATGCTAAAAATGCAGAGGAAAAATAATTGTTCATAATATTTGTGGGAAACAAGACATGTAGGAAAAAAGACTTCTGTCTTTTTCTTTTCTTACTGAAGTTTTCAGAATTCAACCACTCCATGTCAGGATTTAATATGTCTCATATTTCACACCATAATTTTAAAAGGTTCACTATGTCTAAAATCACATCATCACATTATTTGTATTACTTTAGCTAAGCATTTAATCTTCTTTAATCTTTTGTTGTTCCAGAAGTCTTCTTGCTCATTCACAGGCCAGGTGTCACACAGGTATGACTGAACAAACACATAGGCAAATAGGTGGAGGTGGCTGTTGTGTGGGAGGGAGGGAAGATGGTGGTGCTGCCGGTGTTCTGATCATTGTGAAAATCGTGACATGTGAGGTTTCAGCAACATGCAGGACCATCAGCTGAACAGGGCTGTTAGGGGCAGGGTGGCAAGAGAGACAGAAGAAAGGACAGGGGTATAGGGTGGTGAGGGAGGTGTGGCTGGAGAGCTGGAGTGCCTTTGTGCTGCTAAACCACACCTCAAGGCTACCAGAAGCACACACACTCACACATCACACATAGCAACCATGACCAGGTGGTGTACAGAAGATCTTACATGTTTAGACCCTGCTCTAACTTCTTGAGTCTGATCCAGTCCAGTCCGGACCGGTCCTGGAATTTATTCCCCGTCTGTTTGCTATCCTCTCACTCTGACTCCCAGCACTGTCCAGCTCACTAATGCACCAGCTTAAGCACCGCTTTGGGAAACCTGCTATTATACCAACTCAATTATCCTGTATCACACAAACACACACGCACACATAAAGGACCAAACACACACATTCATGTTGCTGACGTACTAGAGAAAACCCAGGCCAAAGGTAAAAGAGAGCTCTTCTTTTTTAAAACATTTTATAGAGGGACATCTACTAAACTGAACAGAACAAGCAACATTTTCATAAATGTCTTAAACTTAAGTAAAATGAAATGTCTAAAAGAGGTTTGTTTTCAAACATCGATCATATAAAAGTTTTACTTTTACTACGTTGGTAAAATGTCTGTCCAAAAAAAATGTATCATTATCATATTATCAATATGTTCTTTTAAGAGTTTACACCATCTGAATCCAACACTACTTTGTATTTCTTTAAGGCCAAGAATTTACTGGCAGTCCTAAAGTATTCACCCGGTCTAACACACACCACCGCCATGGGATAATGAAAATTTGTGTTTCTTGGCAATTTTCTCCTGGTTTTCTTACTGCTGTATTGATATGATTCAAACCAACTTGTCAGCATCAGTGATATGATGATCATGAACTTCAGCACTTTATGGAGTGCTCACCAGAACATACATAAGGTTATGCAAAGATGCGGGACACACTCATTACAACACTCAAGCTATTAGATGGATAAAAAAAAGTAATGTTTGGTTTTTCTTCTTTCTTTAAGTCACATCTCACCCTGTCCTTACAGATTCAGACAGGAGAAACTGCCCGGTAGTGTAAACATTTATGTGACGTAGTTTTAATAGTGTGTAAAATCAGCCATCTGATTCTCAGCCTCAAGTATATGACAGTGACTGGATGAGGTCACTGTCGTATACTCACTACTTACAATATGAAGATGTTCCCTGACTAATAATTTTCTTGACAAAGTCTCAAGAAAATATTGAGGCTTTGTGTGAGACTTAGATTGCAGATTGTGCTAAACACATGCAGATGAAAGTAGGCTCAAAAAGTCTAGCTGATGTAAACTTGTTTTTATGTTTGGTTGTTGTATTCCACTCTTGAGCCGATGGAGATGGCTGTGGAACTCAAGTAATCACCCTCTTTTTAATTTTTCACATTGTCACGTTTCAGCACGGCAGCCAGCAAGGACACTCACTTTTCAGACTTATTGACTTGTGTGGAGAGCTGCAGTCACTCACCATGGAGAACCATAGATCCTAAAGCCTCGCACAGTGACCTCAGAGTCCTGCAGGTAGATGCAGTTGGTGAGCAGCGACTGGACATTCTCATAATTCTCAGGCTTCAGCTTGGAGGCTGACGGGAAGTAGTAGAAGTCCTGTTTGATGAGGTCTGCCATGAACTCCTGGTCAAAGGTCAACTCATGGTTTCCAGCAATCACTATTTTGATGTCGTAGGGCAGAGTACCTGGGTTAAAGAGAGAAATACCAGAGGGATGAATAACCAAAGAGGACAGATGCAAGGTTCAAAAAAGAAGAACACAAAGTTAAGAAGTGGCGAGGCAGATATGTGGAAACTACAATAAATACATTTCCTCGCTATTCCTAGTAAATCTGTAAATCTGTCTTAGATTTCCTCAATCAGTCAAGGTCTCAACCCAGTGCACTGCTGCCTTTTGTTAATGCAAGCAAAGCTGAATGTGTCCCTCTGGAAACAGGAAGGAGAAGAAAAGAAAGCAGAATGGGTCATCACTGTCACTTTTATGATACAGAATATTAAACATTTACAGGCTAGAGCAATCACTGTTGGATCTTTACCCTGTCTTCTTTCATCATCTTCCTCTAATCAAACCCTCACTCATTCATCCTCTCCTCCTTTTCAATGGCTTTAATTGGCTATTCAGCTCATGGCACAGCAGGGAGCCACATTGATCTAGCTCATCAAGCCCAGCAGACTTTGGGCCTTCACAATTTCGAATGACGTTTTCAAAGCTTGACTAAAAAAACAGAGTCAACATTGACAAACATCTGGAGGTCTGCTGTGTGAGGCAGTTTGGCTGGCAGAGAGTTCAATCACCATTCTTATTCCATTATTACTGCCAGTACAGCACAGTGTGCAGCTCAACATGCTAGTTTGTGTATCAGCGGGCCTATTTGTGAGTGACTTTCCAATGTGTGCACAAGTTTGCATGCATCTGTGCATGAACATGTCATGTTAGTGAAAAGGAGTAATTAAAGTCAGCTTCAGAGGAAGCTGACAGCCAGGCGACAAGTCTGTCATAACAGCCAATCACAGCTCAGTGCCAGTGGAAGGACAGAGGGAGGGAGAGGAAGGAGACGGCAAAAGAAATACTTTGGGAAGCCCAAAAATCCTTGAGTGTGAAGGAGAAATAATAACGAGATGAAAGCAGCTGTCAAAGAGAAGCCATCTCTACGGTTTGGGTCCGGGCCGACGCCTCTTCATACATAACTGCCATTTGTTTGGAGAAAGGGCTTGTGTTTAGCTGTCACAAAGACACAGAAAAAAAGCCCCATAAACAAGGGGCTGCACCTTCCCAAATGCAAATGGACACACAAAACCAATGCACAGCAAATTCATTTTCTGATTCCTTGTTGTCTAAAAACATCTACATTCGTTTGGCTTCAATTGTAAATTTTATTGGGAGGGAACTGATTTTAAATTAAGAGAAATCAAGACACCATGATCTGATATATATTATTTCTTGTTAAAACAACTCTCCCACATTTATTGTATTGTTTTATTTTCCCTATGTGGTGTATATTGGAAACAGCACTGAGGACTTGAGTGTCTTATTTTCTATTTTCTGATACATAAAACAGAGTATTTGCTTCAGAAATACACCATAATCATTTTGATCTTTCAAATGAGAAATTGTCTTTATTTCTAGGAATAAAGACAGTCAAAATTTTGATTTTCACTGTCACAAAATCTAGATTGAAACTTTTGTAAAACAACTAGCCTTTGTTTGTGTTAAATAATAAAATGTATTGTTATGGAGTTTTTCTATTGAGTAAGATTTTGAATGTAGACATAAATGTTCACGTATGATTCTGGAAAAATAATTTTTTTATTTATTTTAAATGAAAAGGTAGAGCAGCTGCACAGTGGCGGCTCCTATTTGTAGCATATAGTATATGTTACTAAGGCATTATTGCCTTGCAGCAAGAAGGTCCTGGGTTCAATTCCCAGCCACGGGTCTTTCTCCATAGAGTTTCCATTTTCTCCCTGTGCATGCTGGGTTCTCTCCAGGTTCTCTGTCTTCTTCCCACACACTAAAAACATGACTGTCGGGTCGACTGATCTCTAAATTCTCCTTGATGTGAGTGTGTACATGGTTGTTAGTCCTGTTTGTATCTGTGTTGGCCTGTGATGCATTGGCAACCTGCTCATGGTGACCCTGCCTCTCACCTGTTGACCGCTGGAGATAGGCACTATCTGCCCTCGTGGCCCCATTTAGGGTAAGGAGTGTATGGATGAAAATGCTGTTTTGATCAAATAATCAAAACTAATAAATACAGCTTTAACAAATGAAAGGTTTTCTTTAGGTTAGCTCAACGTATCATTTCTTTAATCCTGCTAATTATAGTCAAGTTACTGCCTTCATCATTCAGTTTAGTTTTGTAGCAGTTGGCTGGCAACACTGCGGAAAAACCCTTCTTTTTATCCCTTCAACCATCTAGTTTCTCCTTGTCATTTTTCAGTCCTTTGTCTGCATTGTCCGTTGTGTTGCTGCATGCCCTCCCTTTCAGCTGCAAACGTTCAAAATCAAGTGTGTGACATCCTGCCACTAATTCTATCTACCTGATTTAGTGTCCATGCATAATCCATATGTGTTCTATATGTAGATACCTGAGACTGTCTGTATGCATGGAGCTAGCTAGGTAGCTTCATGTGGTATGTATGTGTGTGGGCTCCAATTGCACCCACAGGAAATCTTCCGGAGCATGGCCATCATTGTTCTGTTGCTGCTATGGGTGGTCTGTTCTTTGAAGAGGAAAATCCCTGTTCTGGCCAAAGCTCCCACATGTACAGGCAGATTAATGCCCATTGTGTGTGTGTGTGTGTGTGTGTGCATGTGCATGCTCTGATGTTTTGTTTGTGCACAGATAGATTCCTAAAGAAAGGCACAAAAATCCAGCCTGCCAACAGAGTTAATTCCAAAGTGTGTGTGTGTGTGTGTGTGTGTGTGTACATGTCGATATTAAAAAGCAGTAGCCAAAACATCTTGCCAAATAACTTAATGACAGTGTAAGTCTGGGAAGTCTGGGAGTGTGTGCAGTTGCATGAAAATAAGGGCCAAATACTTCCTGCCAGCCTGAAATGTGTTTCCGTAGGAGTGGCAGCACTCAAACTTTCCTCTGAAGTAAGATGAAAAGAAAACTCCGGTTCTTTCAAACCTTCGTCCAGTCTCAATATTACTTGACTCTCCAAATTCTCCCTAGGTGTGTGTGTGTGCATGGTTGTTTGTCCTGCATGTCTCTGTGTTGCCCTGTGACAGACTGGCAACGTGTCCAGGGTGCATCCCGCCGCTCGCCCGGAACTTTAGCTGGAGATAAGCTAAAAGGGTGGATGGATGAATATTACTTGAATACTTTGAGGCTACTTAAATTTCAAGAATAGCCTGTCTCTTAATCAGACTCTGTTACGGCCAGTGGCATTGTATGTTTTCTTTTTCTCTTCCGTATTGGTATGACTTCAGCTTTGTTACCAAATTGACTCAATTGGGAACTGGATGCAGTCCTCATCCTCCCGTGCCACTTCCTGAGGCCCACAGCAGAGCTGATTGGCTCTTCTGCAGGCTTCAGACATCCTTTTTTAAACCTTCTTGGGAGAAGGCATGACTGATTCTTTGTTCAGACAGCTTGCCACTTTGCTTGATGTTTGCTGACTGCTGAACACAGCATTGTCTTTTTGAGAACTTTAGTAAATCTTGGTTACCTTTGATTGTCCCTGTGAGGGCTTTGTATGTAAGCTTATAATAGCCTACTAGAGTTTTGTTGTTTTTTGTTTAAGCTTATGTTTTTGGTCCAGTTTTGTTTGGTTAAGATCTTTGGTTTACAACTCTGGTTGTTTTGTGGATATTGTTTTCTTTAGTATATTTGGTTATACTAAAGAAAGTACTTTTGATTGTAGTTGCTTTTTAACTTTTCATTTTTTCATTTTGTTAAACCCATACAAAAAATCCCAAACTGATAAATCTTTAACATCTAGGTTTCTTTAATGTTATTTCTCCTTCTCCCTGGCTGAGCTGGGTGGTAACAAACTCTCTTATTTTTTGTTGTCAAAAATATCCAGAACATTTTAAACTGTCAGTGTTAGAATACACTCACCACAGTCAGTTCCATAGAAGCTCCGTAATGTTGGAAAGACTTCACAACCAAAAAACATAATAAAAAATCCAGAAAAATTTTACGTTATGCAGAAACTAACTGGAACCAAATCTTGTTCATCTAATAATGAATTAACTATATGTTAAGTTAAGCTGATTAGCCTTTCACTCTCTGAAGTAGGCCTACTGAACCTGACTCCTAATCAGAACCTCTGATTCGGTTCAGAATCATGCACTTTAGCCTGATTCTTAAATTTCTTGAGAAATGTTCTAGTTATTGTTATCTAGTAGTACTTCATTTGTTTCTTGTTAATTTTATAAATAACACATTGGTAGGTAATGGCTGGATTCCTAACAAAGTAGTAGATGATTACTTGACAAATGTTAACTATCCAATATATAACTGTTTTTGTAATAGTTAACAAGCAATTCTTTAGCAATTTTACATTACTGTCTTTGTGAATAAGGACATGTGGCTCTCAGAAGGGGGACCAGGATCAGCTGTAGAGGGCAGAGTGATGCTTTGGAAAACTTATCTTCTTGTCATTTAGGAGAATTTTACATGGACACCTACCACCTGTGTAAGCATTGTTGCTGACTAATCACACCCCACTATGGAAACCATGATCCCGAATGGCACTGGACTCTTGCCACACGCTTCAATGCAGAATGTCTGCAGATGCACAACAGCAAGTTCAAGTTTAAAGTTTTGACCTGACTCGACTTCCCATTTGTCCCAACCATAATGCAGTCCAACATCTGGACAAATGAGACTGAACTACAGAGGTTACATCGCATCCAGGACTTAAATAATCAGATACCGATGGTTTTGTGACACATACCTAGGCAAATCTTCATAAATACCCAGATGTTTTAGTGAATGAAAAGTACATACCAATTAATTTTCAAGCATAAAAATAAACAGGTCTCTGCTGCAGTGGGCTGATGCTGTGACAGATACACAGTGTCAGCATAGACAAACATTTTTGAACATTTTACTTTAGCTCTGAGTTATTCATGGAAAATATGCCCAATTGCAGACTGTTTTTATTTTGCTAAAAATATCCAAAACATTTGACAGAAAATGCAGCTTCAGAAGCTGGAATACCCATGAAGA